CTTTGGGGTGGCGTTCCTGGGAACTATATGACGCGTCACAGCCAATGGGAATTTATTGCTCGCTTCGCTCAGCCGGAATTGAGCTGCCGTGTTTCGCGGTTACAGACAACGCCGCCTGCGCCCCATGGAACAGTTAAAAAAAAAAAAAAAAAGCTGTTTGAATTTACACTTAGCACCCTGTATACCTGTATGCAGCCCACTGCGGGTGTCTGCGTGAGCTCGAAACGTGCGTCCTGTGACTATAGAGGACGCACGTAATGGTTTAGCCGGTGAATAGCAAAAGCGCGAAGACGTCGTGACTATGCACTTACTCTTGGCGCTGCCTGATGGTAACTACCGGCCGTATACAGTTAGCGGCGGCTTGACTTAGTTTCGAAGCGGAGTTCACCAACACGAGTGCGCTGTGCATGTTCAGCTACACATTGGATATCTATTTGGAGTATCATTCAGTCAGAGGTTAAACATTCTTTCACGGTCCCGTCTGTGAGTTAGTCGTAAAGGTGAGTAACACGGTATAAATCACTGAATTATACCATATAATACATACTGGACTATTTAAGAAGAAGAGGCAGATTGACCATTTTTGTTTTGTTATTTTAAACGAACTGTAAAGAGATAGAAACAGATTCCGCACATCACCGAATATATAGAAGGTTTAAATAGACCCCCTTCGAAAGTCACGTGCCGATTATTATAGAAGCTGGAACGCGTAAGTCATTCCCTTAGATAGCGAGCGTCGGATTACGGCCAACGCTGGAGCCGACGAGGCAATCAAACGGCATTGAAACTGCAATGTCATTGCGCTCACCACCTTTTTATATTTATTTTTACATTTTAATCCATTTAGATGCATAAAGTGCGCCGAGGCGTTTCGGTTTTAGTCTGCCATTGTGCAGGGATTTCACAGCCGCCAACAGAGGGCAGTCTTTCAAAACGGCGTCTGTGTCGAACTGCTGATGCTTTGAATTCGACAACTATAGACATTTTCCACAGGAGCGCCGCCATCTTGAATTGCCGTCACTTCCAGTATGGGCGACGACAAAATAGTAAAACGTTTCAACCTGTAACTAGCAAAAAAAAAAAAAAAAAAAAGGGGAGCCAAAACGAGAATGCGTGACGGTGAGGCTTATATCCCAAATGTCTTCTATTGGCGTGGTGACGGCAAAGTAATGTTTTCGCCCATACTGGAAGTGACGACCATTCAAGATGGCGGCGCCCTTCTGGAAAAGGCCTATAGACCAGCACGCGTCTCTGACGTCACGCAGCTGCGGTGGCGCTGTCGGCGGCACTGCGCATTTGCAGGCGCTTCAGTTCACTCGAATTCGGTTTCTGCGCATGCGCAGTGCCCACACCTGGTGTGGGCAAACGCGGGCTTGTTTGTAAACAGCGTGTCGGTCCATAGGGAACAGCTGACTCGTGTGCAGCAATAAATGAACTACCGCTCTAATGCTTGTCGCGCCACACATGGTGCTCATGTTGAGTGCGAAGAACCTGAATGACCGCATAACTTTGAACCTTCCTGTGCTCATCAATGTGTGGAACGTACGTGTTTCCGTCTTTTGAAAATTTGTTTGAAATAAAATTTTAACATTTGCTCCTGCGTTTTCAATAGCCCTGTATAGAACATCACACACGTTCCTAATGCAATTTCTTACTCGGTGTTTTGTTCTTCGAATGTAACGGCAATGAATGGGAATATGCCCTTACACAGAGATGGGAAGCATTGTTCTGCTGGAGGCTCTCTTCTTGCTTAGTTGCCTTTTCAGCGGTCTACATTTTGTTTTATTTTTGTTTACTGTCTGTAGGCAGGTGCGAATGATGGATGATAACTCTGAAGCAAATAAAGGTTTTGAATAAATATTGTCGAATCGAATATCGAACGTTTGCTGCGCGAAAATCTTTGACGCAAAGTGCAATGCGCACATACACTAGTACAGACTAGATATTAATTTTTTTGTCTGTTTTAAGGGAACTTAAACAGCTTGGCAGGCTAATCGTCTGAGCGGGTTTCATAGATTTGAAGTTTATATAAGATTTATGATACCAGGATTTCGGTTAAAATAATTGGTCATTTCATTTTAATATTCGATAGTAGCTAAAGTCGGAGTTTATTTTGCAACACGAAAACCAACAACAAGAAAATAGTGTATTAGTTGTGAAGTATAAACTGCATGTACACTCTCAGAAAAAAGGGTGTATTCTGACACCCTTTGTCCCATATAATACACCCCAAAACTTCAGTTCGGTGAACAGCGCGCTAATGTTGATCTGACGTTACTAACGTTCACGAGGGGCTTGATAGCCGTGTGGTACAACTTAATAAAATAGCTAATCTACGTGTTACTGACTACAAGATAATAATAATAATTTCTTATTTTTGTATTCTTGACCCTACTGCAAAACTTCAGTGTTTTCTTTCTGTGGTCTTTGATACGTACTTTAGCTATTACATAAGTTATATCGCATCGCTCGTAAAATTTGGGACCGTCTGTTCGACTTTAGGGCGCTGTATGTCAAACTGAAGTGTTGGGGTGCATTATATGGACAAAAGGGTATAAAGTGAAACATTTTTTTTTTTAGAGTGTAAACGATTTGGCGGGCGACGAGACAAGCGACAACGATCCGCTTCGCTGTCGCGCGGTCAGTCGCGCGACGAGGCAAACCGCATGAAGGCGACGGGAGCAAGCGACCAAGGCGATGAGCGACAATTTCTAGAAATCAAAAAAAAAAAAAAAAAAAAAAAGATCCGAGCGACGCGACGAGGGACTGTGGGAAATCTTCGTCGCTCGTCGCTGTCGCTCGCTAAATCGCTTACATGCGGTTCGGCCTTTACTTACACAAACCATAAAGGCTGAACCGCATGTAAGCGATTTAGCGAGCGACAAGTAAGCGAACGTTCAAATACAACTCATAGACGCATTAAAAAAGAAAAAGAAAAAGATGACCTACGCTTACTGTTTATAAACGCCTAGTGGCTCTATGCCAAGTCCCCTGTCCCAGACAGACCCGTTGCTCTGCCTTACTGTGAAACAGCATAGACATTTGTGCCCTTTGAAGCTGCCGCGTACCACGTGGCTCAGCGACAATCTTGTGTGCGACTCGTGAATAAGTGAGCTGAGAACTTGGGAAAATAATTTTTGATAGAAAATGCAAAAACTTTCTGCCTACCAAAAAAAAAAAAAGAAAAAAAAGTGGAGAGCTGATTGCGTTTTATCGGTGTAAACTTCATAAATTTTCCCACTCCGTTGCCAAATTCTCTTCCCACGGGCCACGTGATAGCTGCACGAAGAATATAAAATGTTGCCCCCGTTTTTTTTTTCAATCTTGAAAAAATGTAAACATAAAATAAGAAAAAAAATTTGTTGCTTCGATTTCATTTTTTTTTTACACGAGTATGGCTTTTTGTGACAGTGACTTGAGGACACTTCGAGAATAATAAATGATAGAAGCGACTTAAAGCAAATACGGTCAAGCGATTAACCGACTATAAATATGCATACATAGTGGAAAAAGCAAATAGGGTGAAGCAATTAACCGACTAGTATATATACATAGTGGAAATCATTCGGTACATACATACATAATTTGCGAATAATACTTTACAGAAATATTATCCGCGAATAATACTGTACAGAAATATTATCTTGCGGACACTGTCATACTTCAAGGCCCCAGCTTATCTTCTCGTATAAAAATTCCTATCGCAAATTGTTCTTGGAATGCCCCATCTCGTACTACTTTTTCACTACAACTTTTTGTCACAATTCCTTACGAGCATTGATTTATTTAACTGTCCTTTTTGCGTTTTTTTATGTGCATGTGCAAAAAAAGCGTTTATGAGTTGTGGTTTTAAATTTTTTTTACGAAGGCTAATAGTTTTTGAGATGTGGATACTGTTATTTCCGTTTGGAATTTAGTGTCAGGATATAAAATCGATATTGCCCCATTGTGCCGCCCTGGCAACGTAATTGTTTACGTTTCGTTTTTTTCCCCCTCTGTACCTGCCATATGCGCATTCATATCCGCTGTCTGGCTGCCACGTAACCTGCCTGTCTTTTTCCGCATGATCCAGAATGTTGTTTTTATTTTGAATTGCACCTGCGACGTGTCTGATAAAAACCATGCATTTCATATAATGAATAACTTTTTTTTTCTTTATTTACAGAACTTGCATAAAACTAAGACTTTATGAAAAAAAAATAAGGAAGAGGTACAGAGCGGGACGCAAATTCCCTAAATTTATCCTGCTACACTCTAGCCGCTAAATTTAGCAGAACAATTGCTTTGGTATACACCGATTCAGGGTCCCCTGCAAAAGGTTCAGCGGAAAAAAAATGCTTCCCACGAAACTGAACGGGGTGTATGTCTGGTAAACTTATTAACGCCGCGCGCTGACTCCCATAGGAACAGCCCAGGTCGCTGTGACGTGGACCTATGCCAAGCCGCCACGTCACAGCTTGCGCGCAAGTTGCAATGGAAACCGCCGCGCGGCGCCCGTTTTCGCCACTTATCTGTCCCCTGCTTTAGCGGAACTTAGCTTGACTCCCGTGCCTGGGAAAGTTTATAAATAAACACCCAGCGCAGCTCAAAAGTCCACGCTGCACATTGAATTCCTCCTGATTTTATCAGCTGTTGTTGTTGTATCGAAGTACAGTCATGGTATACATAGCTGCGTGGAGGTAGTTTATAAGCTGCCCAGCTGGTAACTCTGCGAGTGTCTCCTGTAGTATCCGGAGCGAAAGTTCGTCTGCTTCTTTTGTGGGGGTTGGGGTGCCGTCGAAACGCCGATCTCTGATTGGTCCTGAATAAAGAATAGTGGGTAGAGCTCAAGGCAGCTTGCTTTGAGGTCTACCCACTATTCTTCACTAAGAGCCAATCAGAGCGCGGCGTCTCTCTGACGTCACCACAACTCCTTCAAATGAAGCAGACGAATTGCTCTGCATAAGTAACTAAAAGATATGCTCTACTACAGTACTGAAGATCTCTCGGTGTTCTCGCAGCACACATCTTTGACCTGAGGCGCCATTCATTGGCTTTGCCGGTCGACGACGCCAATGGACTGCTGGAGCCTTTCTGCGTCACTCTGGAAAAGATTTTCAGGAAGGGGCTCATCGGTATGCGTTTGCTTTATACCGACCAAAGACTCTTTGGCATTTTGGAGATTTGTTCAGGCAGCCACCACGGTTCAGCCATTGATATGAAGTTACGACTGCCTCCGTATAGAAAGCCATAACTTACCTTGGTCGCTTCAATTCATTAGTATGGTCGCATGAGAAGCGATTGCCTTCCTAGACGCAAAGGTGCTCCTGTCACTACCGTATAGGCTCTGGGGCGTCTGTCCTGTCTTGTCTTGACGGCTGGGTGAGACGCGAAAGGGACAGTCATTGCGGCTTGATGCAGGGCCGTACCCAGAAAAAAATTTCGGGGGGGGGGGGGGGGGGGGGGGTTTCGGGGACAACGGCGGCCATTTTGAAAACGTGTATTGTCTTATTTTCGCCTATGAATCATGTGCATCGGTGGCATATAATGGAGAGTTACAGCAAACCGGAGAACCGGTCCCGGTTTGGTACCCGGTAGCCAACCGGCGCCACTGCGCGTGCGCAGAGGTGGAGATTAAAATCGGCTGGCTGCCAGTGCACCGACCAGGGCCGTACCCAGGAAAACATTTCGGGGGGGGGGGGGGGGGGGGGGGGGGGGCAGAACCCCCTAACCCCCCCCCCCCCCTGGTTACGGCCCTGGCTTGATGTTAGGAGCGGTAGATCCATTTTTGTGTAGTAATTTGTGTGTTAGGAGGAGAAAGAGAGGAACCTTGTCGTGGGCGTGGAAAGGAAATCTTTTTTAGCGGAATGTTTTAACTGGTTCTCCTGTTAAAATGGAATAAATAAAATGAAAGGGAGATACGTTTATGGTGTTCTTACGTTTACTTTGTCTGTAGTTGGGTAGTCGAAGTAAAGGAAAAACAAACGAATGCAACTAACTGCTTCAGTGTCCCTTTTTCGGTGGTGCAAGTACCGAAGTAGAAATTTACCAAAAAATCCATTCTTTATACTAATATGTTCACTCTTAAAGTAATATTTCGCTCGGAGCTTCGCAAGTATGACGTACTCAAGGTTGTACAGGATTATATTGTACCTCTAGCCACACAGACGCGAAAGACCTTACGAGCTGCGGCTTATAACTCTTGCATGACATAACCCTTGAAAGTACCGTTCGAAATTTGTGACGTTCTTCTCTTACGTTTATAACCAGACTCTTGCAAAATTCCCAATAACGTTTTTACGCCAGTTCTTTGCGAAAAATACGCATGTGTCACCATAATTCACGTACTGGTGTATAGGTGTCACAGTGTCTTCTAACAAATTTGAGAATTACTCGAGCAGGCCTCCCAGAAAAATAGCCGACAGTAATTACTGCGCGAAAGAAACTGCACAATTAAATTAGCTTGTGTGACATCAGATGAATGCACTCCATACGACGCTGCAATCGCGTAAGTTATTATTGGAGCAAACTCCAAGGGCGATGTCATGCATCTCTACATGATGTGAGCTGTAGAAGAACTTGTAATTGGGCTAGTTGTGTCCGCTGTTTTTTGCGCCTTACACCATGATTCCCAATGATATGAGCTGTTAAGCAAACAGTTTTTCTTTTCGACGGGAGATTGAGGGATGTTTCATTCTGACATGCTGTGTTTTTCTAGCGCAAACTCCGACAGCTCTGGGCTGCATCCGGAGGGACTACTGGGACTGCTTCTTTTCATTGTTCCACATCAAGGACAAAGCGGGGTGGGCCTTTGATATTAATCCTTAGCTGACATTAATTAAGCTTGCCAACACACTTCAATAAAGAAGAACTGTCCCTTAAAGGGAGGGTGCAACGATTTCCGGACTTCGGTCAAAGATTTCTGGAAGTTGCCCTCTGACACTTCTGAAGTAAAGAACAGAAAACCGATTTCGCCTGCGTGTCCTAGTTGTTGCGTAAAAAAAGATAAATATTGGCATTTCGGGCACCCCTCAATTCACTCCCAGTCTTCAGGGTCACACCTGGTCGCACTCCTAGTGACGTCATTTGGAATGCCGTGTAGGTTCCCATGTGCTATCTCGGAGGGCGCTTCCTCTCCTTCTCACTGCTGACATTAGCAGGCGTTATGCTGCAGCTTAGAGCCGAGCGAGGTCACGTAATCTTTTCGCCGTAGTTCCTTCGGCTGCCACTTGGGGCCGCAGGTGGGGGGAAAAGCTCGACTTTTGCTTTGCGATTATGCAGCGGAATCGCGACATTTTTAATGAAGGAGGTGTTTTCTCTATCCTCCGGGACACGATAAAAACGTAAAAATGACGAGATGCAAATTCTTTTAATCATAAAATCGTTGCACCGTTCCTTTAAAGGGGCGCTAAACTGTAACTTGAGATCGTATTTTTACGGCGCAATTTCAAAATCCATTTCAGTACTTCTTTAATAATTGAAAAGCATATATATTTCTTTTTATAATAGCTTTAGTTTGATTTACATTCTTCGTTCATTCTAGGAGAGAAAAGGCTTAGAGTTTAAAAGGGAAAAAAATGTGAACTACAATTCTGAATTGGGCGGAACACGCAAACACATTTTTAATAGGGTATTTACCTTTGTCTTGCTTGCCCCCGACATTCGTACTGCGGCGTTCTAATGACATCTTAATAGTGTTTAAGTGTAAACCGTCCAGGCTTTATGCATCGCAAGTTTACAATTCTCTGAGAAAAAAGATATCCTCGCCACCCTTCAAACATAATTCCCTTTATCCAGAGACGTAAGATGCAAAAAAAAAAAAGAAAAAGAAAGAGACTTTGAAAAAAAAAAAAAGTTAATATAACGATTAAGTTTTAAAAAAAAAATAACGGTAGGGATGTGTGCCCACTACGTTGGCTTACAAGTCAATAAAGAAATACTAATATTTAAATGTTATTGAACTTCCGAGCCTTCTGTACTACAAAGTTATTAATTTTATTGCTCTGTCGATTTAGTGAACTACATGTAACAGTTGTCTACTGCATGGCTCTTTTGTTCCTAGCTGAATCTGAAACGATATAAAATCTGGTATCATGAGATCACTCTAAATTTTGAAGTAAATCGACTATATACGCCATTTTTATTGGAGAGACGAGTTTAGTACAAGGTACTACACGTCTTGTTTTTTTAAGTACATCTTTTAGAGAATTAACAAAACACATAATTTTGAAATCCTCACCTAAGTGTCTGCAATCGCTGAAAATGTAACAAGATATCCTCCAACTAGCTACATTTTTTTTTTAAAATGACATGAATACAAGTAACACTATTAATTTATGTGGGTCAATAAACTACAATAAAAACTGTTAATTTTCTATATAATTTGTTCAATAAACATATCAACACATATAAATTATATAAGTCGCATACAAGGTGTATACCTACATGCACCTTGTATGCGACTTACAAGGTGTATACCTATATGTTGATTGCACACATGCATATAAAATTTCCAAGATATTCAACGGGCTAATGTGGTTAATATCGATTTCTTGACATACCTGGTGGGGAGTGAGAGTGTTTTCCTGACGTTTGTTTGTGCAGGCTTCCATTCAAGCTGTCAATGGCCATCGAGACTGTTAGCGAATTCAAGAAGGTGGGTTGCCTTCTTTTGTTGTATTGCTTAGTTCAGTAGTATGAAGCCTTCTTCGATTACATTAATCTGTTTTGGGATTGGCTCAGCTTAGATATTTTTTTTTGTTATTAGTCAGCTGCCTATCTGCGGTGCCTTTTACATTTCCAAGGGGTCTTGTAACTGAGTTTTTTTTCTTCTATGCATCTGTGTATGATGCAATGATCGGCTATTCTGCGCTAAAGGTTCGTTTGCAGTTTATCTTTGTGAACTGAAGATTTTTTTAGCTATCCAGTGCATAAAATCCAGATGATTTACTATAAAATGCTCAAACCTTGTCGTCTAATCGCGCCATATTTTTTTTTATTTTACTTGTACTTTTTTCTTATGTGACAAAAGGTCGAGGCTTAGCTCAATCTCTGTGAGAAGCAAAGTCAGGTATGAATATTCTTGTACGGGACAAACTGACATTAAATGACAGGTTGGTACAACTCTCATTGAGAATTTTGAAAAAAAAAAACTGCTACCTAAACTATTTAACAGGAAAGCACGCATCTTTCCCTCATCCCGTGAATTTATTAGGCGTATCACATATAGTACCACACTAAATCTAGGGAAGTTCTACTGGAGACGTAATCGAGGTTCTGACAAGCTCCTCTTATGTTTAGTACCTAGCCTGGGTCTAAGATTTGTTTTTAGAGCGCAGCTCTTAGGCGCCCATTTCCTGCTTGAGCGACGTCGGCGTCGCCGTCGGCGTAATCGCGCGGTGCATGATGGGTAGATTTCCCCGCTAAATCTAGCTGAAAAATTTCCCCGCTAAATCTAGCGGAACATTTTCCCAGCTAACTTTAGCGGAAAATCTTCCCCTCTAGATCTAGCGGAAAAATTTCCCCGCTAAATCTAGCGGATAATTTTCCCGCTAAATCTAGCGGCAAGTTTTCCCCGCTAAATCTAGCGGAAAATTTTTCCAGCAAAAATTTGCAGACAATCTTTCTTGCTTAATTTAGCGGGAAAATTTCCCCGCTAAATCTAGCGGAAAAATTTTCCCACCAAATCTAGCGGAAAATATTTCCCGCTAAATTCAGCAGAAAATTTTCCCCGCTAAATCTAGTGGAAAATTTTCCCCGCTAAATTTAGCGGAAAAAGTTTCCCCGCTAAATTTAGCGAAAAACTTTTTCCGCTAGATTTAGCGGAGAAATTTTCCTCAAAATGGGGGCGAGCAGGAGAGGAGGAGGGTCATAGCCCCCTCTCCGTACCTTTCCCTCCTCCTCAAGAGCTGCGCTCTAATTCGGCGTTACAGGGAGTTGTAAACGGCTTTCATTTTTATTTGATTGATTGATTGATGGGTTTACTGAACATCTTTAGGTGCGCACGTCACAGGGCAAGGGTCGCCTGCTACTACGGCTACTTCTCAGAAAGAAGCTAACGAGGACAGCTGTGGAACAACTTCTCAAGTGCCGCTGTCTTCTGCAGGTAGGCGGCACACTTCAAAAGAAGACTCAATGCGCCCTTCCGTTGTGTTTATTAAGTAAACCATCACAGTACACGGAGGCACTGCATTTTAGCAGGCATTCTCGGGAAATTGGAATGGTCCACTAAACATTCAGACGTTTTGTCATTGATATAAAACTTAAAACTTGCTTATGCAATCTAGTGCATGGGCTTCGAAAAGTTTAGTTTTTCAATAATCTCAAGCTGGTTGACTTTTATACTTCGATTTAAAACTTCGAAAATTGTAGCACCAAATGTTTTGTTATATCGCTAAGCCGGCCATTGAATAAATAATGTACAGATTAATGCTCCTTATCCGTTTTGTTTGATGCAAATTTGTAATGACCTCTGCGTGTTTTTTATTTTTATTTCAGGGAGTCTATGACCCTGCGAACTCTATTCTTGGCAACGAAATTCTGGCCGGTGAGTTTTATGCGCTCCGCTTGTTGTGCTCATTGCTAAGCAAGGGCGAATTTGAGTCAGGCATTTTTTTTTTGGGGGGGGGGGGGGGGGGAGGGGGGGTTGGGGGGGGCGCGGTTTGCAGAGAAATTTGACGTTAAGGACGAAATTCCGTGACGCCCGTGTATATATGTTTTGTTGAGACAATACTTTCAATTACATCGAAAACTTGTTTATGTGGTTTTTTTTTCTTCATAAAATAGTCGCCCTAAGTAGACTTAAGAAAAGCCCCCCCCCCCCCCCCCCCCCCCCCCCCCCCCCCACCCCCTTGAATCCGCCCCTGTTGCTAAGAAAAATGACTAAGGTTTAGAAACATGGGAGGCTATCCAGCGTCTACCGGACAAGCTGTAGACGTTTCTGTGGGCACTGTTCTTGCGGGGTTGTATTTACACAAATTTAAAGGAAAAATGAATCGTTAAATCGAAAAACCAAAAATGTTCTTAAAATTCGTTTTTCGCTAATTTTTTTTTCATTTCTTGTGGACATTACATTTAGAAATTAAAGTAATATACTATAATCTTTCTATTAAGAAGAAATATTTTTTTTTCAGGGTTGCTGGCTGGCACTGACACTGCTAAGCCGTGATAGGATCTTGCTGTTCTTTTTCATAGTTTGTTGTATTTCTTGTTACAATTGTGGGCTATGTCCTCAATAGCCACAGATCTGCTTACGTTTTAAAGGTTTCAGAGTATGTCCACAGTTTCAGCTGTCACGATTAGAACCGTAGTCTAACTTGGCTTTTATTGTACACCTTTTCGTTTCATTGGCAGCCGCAAGCAAGGGGTATTTTCCCAATCACGCTAAACTTTTTCAAACCCAAACCACGTCGTTTTTTTTCGGGCCCTGTGTACAATGAAACTCAATTAACATTCTGAGTGCATAGGGTATGCAATTAGATAGGCTTAATTTCCACGGTTTTTGAAAAAGAGGTTGCGCTTGGGACGAGGTACATTGGAAGCGGTGCAGTCAACTGTCATAACCTTACCTCCCTTTTGCTGCCTTCCGACGCAGAGATACTTCTCTCGCTGCTGTATGAAGTGGACAAGGTTTCATTCAGCTTCAGACTCAGGGTAAGCTACTCGGGCCTACTACCTAGCAGGCCTGCAGTCCGTCCCCTGCATGTTTGCGGACGTGACGCGGGCGTGATGTGAGTCCATGCGGCTGTTCGATGAAACGATAAGAAAGTTTGCACATATATTCCTTTGTCTAGCGCATTCAAAGGACCGAATGAAAGAAGGGCGCATCTATCAGAAAGTAAGTTCGACATAAAATGATAAGCCATTCCACTCTGTGAAGGTGAATGACCAGCGAAGCTGCTTAGCACACGTGACACCGCATTTCGAACAAAGGTACGAACTATCGCCGCCCCGAGGAGCTGGAGCAAACTAGACACGCGCGATGGGACCGCCACCCGGTGGAAAGTAGACACGCGCGACGGGACCGCCACCCCGGGAGAGCGGAAGGAAAGGAAACTAGGCACGCCAACGGGGCTTGGAACGACGACAGAGAGAGGGCGGTGCGAGCGTAGACATGACCGACGCGGATCGCACAGTGGCAAATCTTCGAGAAACCTTTACTATATCTACCTGAGAGTCTACTGATCTTGAAAATGGTGTCTACTGATAACCAATCTGCTGAAAATGCATAACCAAGTCGTATAAGCTTTTCCATAAAATGAAGCGATTTTGGGTCAAATTAGGGACCTGAGTTTTTGTTGACGTACACGAAAAATCCACGGAACCCTAGCCATAAACAGCTTCTCTGTAAAAACACCATTTTGTTTAGTTTCAGGAACACGTGCATCTGTTATTCGCAAAGGGACATAAAGGAAAGCTGAAGAGGTCCTTGAATTAGAACAAACAGCCATAGAGTGCCCGAGGATCTGGTAGCACGGACCATCAAAGAACCATTTCTCGCGAAACCTGGGCGTCAGCGCACAGCTTTTGGAGCGGCGAGGACCCGAAACACGCTTGTTCGCTCGGGAGAAGTGTGTTTCGGCGTCTCGCCGCAGCGGGGCGCCAGTCACGTGGCTCTCTTCACATCCATTGTCTGCCGCTCCACCTTTTCCATTTCGGCGGCCCCTTCTCATGGCGATCTGCCAGGCTTTGCCAGTATATAGGGGGATATGGTTGAGGAGAAGAGCGATCCACAGCAGAGCGGGTGTCTGCCACATCCATACACCACCGCTGACGTAACACCAACAGGATAGCGACTGGCGTCAGCGTGACACTTTTATGACGTCATAAGGCGGGAATCGAGGGGTCATTTATTTAAACGCGGTAAACACACCGGTCGGAGACGCGTTCTAGGCACCATTTACTTGTATGATCACTGACGTAGGGAGAACGAGAGGGCGTGTGCTTCGGACGTACCGCCTCCAGCACGCGCTCCATACCTTCCGCTGTGCTTTGGCTGCGCGAGCTTTCTTTTGGGGAGGACGAGACGGCGAAGCGTTGTCGAAGGTAGAACGCTCACGCTGAAGGCTAGACTACTGAATTGTCTCCTTGCCGTTCTCACCATATCCCAGGCAGCACAGACACGTTGAAAAGACGTCGAAAGAACGTGATGACGTCAGGAACCACATGTCGAAAGAACGTTGAAATTCTGAATGTCGGGTCCCTTCGACGTATAATGGAAAGGATAATGTCTGTAAAAAAAGGTGGATTTTACGTCGACATAACGTCCCACTTAACGATCTTAGAACGTCGAGCGGACGTCTGAATTGGACGGGAAGTCAAGTGATAACGTTATATAAACGTTGACACAATGTCCCATTTAACGACCATAAAACGTCGAGTGTACGTCTAAACTGAGCGAGATGTCAATTAATAATGTTATATCAACGTTGACATAACGTCCCACTTAACGACATAAGACGTCGAGCACATGTCTAAAGTGAACGGGATGTCATTTGATAATGTTATATCAACGTTGACATAACGTCCCACTTAACGACATAAGACGTCGAGCATATGTCTAAACTGAACGAGATGTCAATTGATAATGTTATATCAACGTAGACATAACGTCCCAATTAAAGACATAAGACGTCGAGCATATGTCTAAACCGAACGGGATGTCAATCGATAACGGCCTCGAGCTAGGTCACCGTGGAACAATGAAGTCAACCGGGTCTGGCTTCGTTGCTCGAAGGTATGTTCGCGAAAGCATGTATATTCGGACGGGATAGACCATTTGCTAAATCCCCCAAAGGCCTCGGCCCGCACTCCAGGAATCATGGGAACGGTGTTCCTTCAGCTGCCTAGTGATCGGTAATTTTGACTACTTCCATGGTTGCATATTTTTGGGTATAATTCGGAGTCGCCCTAAACAAGCGTTCTATAGTGCGCAAGGACCCGTCATATCACTTTTAAGATTTCTCGTCAATGTCAGAGTTTTCTATACTGTGCATGGTGCCCACCCTTCAACCTGGCTGAGCTGCAGAAATCTCTTACATTATTATCATTTCCTTACAGCTTCAAAGACGCTGATATTAAGTTAGAAACGCTAAAATTGCTATAAACAGCTCCGGTGACTTCGAGCTAAATCCTGTTTTTTGTTGTTTTAAATTCTCGGCTTTTTCAGCAATTCCTTTTAAAACAACAATCACGAGAATGATAATATCGGAAGAGATTTCTGCACCTCAGCCAGGTTGAAAGGTGGATCATACGCACAGTATAAAAAATGCTGATATTGACAAAAAATTTTAAAAGTGATGTGACAGGACCTTGGGCTCTATAAGGCGCTTGTTCAAGATAATCAAGGTGTTGCTCAGACATTGCTGGGACGTCTCATGCTCAACGTTCAAAGAACCTCCCAGAGAAAGCGTAGAACTGACGTCGAATAATGTCGATGATGTCAAGGTGTTGCTCAGGACATTGTTGGTACGTCTCGTACTCCACGTTCAAAGAAATTCCCGGAGAAAGCGTAGAACTGACGCCTGTTAATGCCAATGACGTCAAGGTGTTGCTCAGACATGGTTGGGACGTCTGGCGCTCAGCGTTCAAAGAACCTCCCGAAAAAAAAAACAACGTAGAGCTGACGTCAAATATTGTCGACGACGTCAAGGTGTTGCTCAGGACATTGTCGGTACGTCTTGTACTCCACGTTCAAAGAACTCCCCTACAAAAACGTAGAACTGACGTCGAATAGTGTCGATGACGTCAAGGTGTTGCTCAGGACATTGTTGATGTTCTAATAACTTCCCGGAGAAAACGTCGAACAGACGTCGATTACTGCTGAAGCCGTCGAGGTGAAGTTTATGACGTTGTCACTACGCTGCGCGTTTGACGTTGTCGGAACCTCTCACGTGGACGTACCAATGCCGTCGACACAAAGTTTGTTAAGGACTTCGCGTCGCCCAACGTCTAGGACCTTATTTGAAAGTCCTCTCAACGTCTTGTGCTGCCTGGGATGAGGGACCATAGGTAGTGTCTGGACGCGCCAAGGCCTTTCCGAGGGCGCTTTTTGTGTCCGTGCTCATGAGGTGGTGTTGGTTAATGGGTCGGGGAGGGCTCTGATATCTTACATTGTTGGCAAGGGGAATTGTGTTTTAATGCGAGAGCATTATTAGGCTACTACTCCAGAATTTCAGCAATATGGGTATCCTCATTCCTGACCGCGGAAACAGTTTCCCCGCTAAATTTATTGGAAAAACTGACGTCACAAAAACCATGTCTCCGCTGTCTCCCCTCAAAAATAAAATAAATGTGCTCCAGTACTTTTCGTCGACACCAAACACCTGCTCACGTGCAACGATAAACGCTATCCCATATATATGTATATATATATATATATATATATATATATATATATATATATATATATATATATATACGTAACCACCTACGGCACCTGACACGGAACAAAAAGCACCATCTTTCCTAAGTCGGGAGCGCACAACCATCCGCAGGACACTCACAGGTCAATAATTTACTGGAGGGCTATTTTCCGAACAATTTTGAGGCTCCAGAGAGCAGCCCCTCTCCACCATGGCTCAATTACAAAATTTCGATTAATCTGGATATGGCAGGAATTCAGAAAAAAAATACTAACGCATCATCGCATGTTTTAAAACAATTATCCCTGACATGCATTGCTGAGCACCACTGTTTTGTGTTTTCTTATTGAGTTTCTGTTAAACACTCTTGGACTCTTTCTACTGTTAAAGAGACGATCATGATCCTCGTTCCGATTAGCAATTGGGATCCTCTTAAAGACTGACGACCAGTTCGCGCTTTCCACTTTTCGCCCGCTTCCTCCTCTCCCCCCTTCTACCCTGTCCACCGTTGCCCGTTTCCTCCTCCCCATAGTGAGGAGGATCTTCTGCCTTGCAGAATTTCGAGTCTGGTCATCGGCCTTTAAGCTCGTTCCTACACCGGTAATTGTAAGCAAAAAAAAAAAAAAAAACAGTTTGGAAGAATCGAGAAATCGGTCCAGTACCTTTACTGGTTGCGAGGTAAGCGCTTGTATTTTGTATTCAACTGAAACATTTTCTACAAACAGTTGATTTTATCAAAACCCTGCCACAGTACAGTCTGCTCACAAGCTTATTATATTTTTCGGCCACTTACCTTTATTGAAATCGCCAGCGTCTTATCTTTCTTTGCTATAATGGAAGTTCGGCTAACTTCATCATATCGGGAGCGCCGTAAATTGCAAAATACAATATATTGCAATACGTCTTCAAAGGGCCTGATAGGGACAACATGAGCCGCGACTTTTTTAAAAATTAGAACGGAGTTTAAGATGTTTTTAATGATCTTAAAAATATTGCAAAATGACTAACCTGCCTACGTTTGAGTGCCTTTTTGAAAAGGATGCGCGTTTTCGATATGAATGAAAACTCGTAGGAATGTTGAACACACGTGTCTTAATAATACTGAGAGGTCTCAAGTTTCCAAAATATTTGTGTGGAGTAAAGCTCCGAATTTGGACAATATTGCATTATGTGTCATGTTTGTAATTTTTACTTACAAAAATTAAAATGCAACGAGAACTTTTAGCTAATATTACGGCATGTCTCTGCACAAAATATATTAAGCCCACAGCAACAACAGTTTGTGTTTTACAACTATTCAAAATGCCGACTTCGCTCAAATCGCGAAACGCGCACTTGACTGACAGCGACTTTGAAACTTTTTTGTTCCGGAAAATAAATTTCAACACACACGCACGCATAAAAAAAAAGAAAAAAAAGAAGCTAGACTTTGTTTTTTCGGGTGCAAAAACAACATATCCAATTTTTTCGTAATAATTAAAGCGTCGACCTCGATCTTACCTGAAAACGCCCTGCTTGTTTTTATACAAGTTGCGTTAATTAATGTTTTTTTTTGGCATTTCAGTTATGTTATTGAACTCTTTCCTTTTTTAAACCCGCTTCCTGCAGTAATGCCTAACGGCGGTTATTTTTTTAAGAATAAAGGATTGTATAACTAAATAAATAAATATACAATTGCTTTCGATAATGCTTCGGCGTCTTGCGGGCCTCGCCATGCATTCACGAGCAGTCAAAGCACGACAGAAGGCGCGGATATTGCACACTGAAGGCCGAGCATCTGAGAAAGACGCCCTGACGTTCTGATCGTGTCAGTGACTCGGCTTCTTTATTTGTGTTTTTTTGGCGTGTTTTATTTTTTTTTTTGAAAATTAGTCCTGCTGCCAATCTCCAAACGGGCCCCAGACCACGCGTCAAGCTGCCTTTGGCAGCTTTTTGTATGCGGCACCGGTGGCTATAAGGTCAAAAATAAAGATTGATTAATTGATTGAGGTATACACCCTTAGAAAAATGAAAGTACTACTTCCTCCTTTAGGGAAGTAAAACGTATGCCACTGAGAACGATCTCTTAAAGCGGTAATGGCAACTTTTACTTGCATACGTTTTTTAATGCGAAAACATTAACTGTCTCATGGAGGGAGCCGACGTCATCAGCTTTGAAACCACGCCAAACGGCTCTTAAATCATTCTCCAAGTCAAGCCAGCTCCCATTTGCCGGCTAGCCATTGCACCTTTTACATTGCTTCGATCCCATTGGCTAGCGCGCGTCGACCAGGCTCCCGTTCGCCGGACACTCAGCGCCATCGGGTGGCCGGTCGTTGAAACTGACGCTGCGAGTCAGTTTCAACGACCGGCCACCTTATGGCGCTGCGTGTCCGTCAGCGCTAAAGCATTGAATATACTTTATCCAGTGCTTTAGTCGGCACCAGTCAGCGCGCCAACACACGTACAGCAAAAATGATGTACATGCTTTCGCATTCAAAATTCAAAAGAAGTGCTTAGGTGTACCTCAATCTTTTTTTGGTCTTTTTGTGTTGATGCTTTAGGACTGCCAGAAGGAACTCCGCAAAGTAAACACGTATTTTCCATTTTCAGAATGCCAGTTTCCTCGACACAACATGGCAGCTGGGGGTAAGATAATTAGCGAATCGGTTATTCTAGCGACTCAACTAATGAAGGGGTTGCGCGCAAAATAACACGAACAAAAAAGTAAACATATGTAACCATTTTTGTCGCTGTGTTTTATAACCTGGCATTCCCATTCTTCCTGAATAATAGAGATGCACAACGGACCTTCAGAGACGAACCAGAACCCTCTTACTGTCAGCTCTGTTAGAGGAGTTACTCACTAACAGGAATGAGTTGAACCAACCAGTTTATGAAGCAATGGTGAGGGTGCAGGCTAGCTGGTGTAAATTGAGCATTGTTGTAAACCCGGGACTGGGGATACGGACAAGGGACAAACACAGAACGACACAGACTTCGTCCGTGTCGTTCTGTGTTTGTCCCTTGTCCGTATCCCCAGTCTCGGGTTTACAACAATGCTCAACCAGTTTACTTAGATATATCACTACGCGTTGCACTTGTTTCGGTGCATGTTTTGATAAGGGAGTTTCCCGACAAAGAGAAGCAAATCGGCAGGGTCTCTGCAGGCTCCGCATAAACATATTTTATAGTCGGAAGCCTCGCAGGTTTGCAATACACTTTATGTTAGACGTTTTGAAGCTATATATGTCGTGAACAATTTGTAAATAATCATCTACAACGAAGTGCCTGCCTAAATACTTGTCATTTCACAACAAAGTACTGATGGAACAGACGCATTCCGACATTTATATGACAATTTTAGTGATCTTGTTTTGCAATGTTTTCAAAGGTCAGTGGCTGATATATGTACACCCCCCCCCCCCTTAAAAATAATCCCGAATCAACTTTAAAATGTGAGATGCCATGGCTAGTTTGAAAGTTTTGTGGGCCACTATATAGTATCCCTTGCCAACCGTGTGAAACAATAGGATCATTGTTACGGAGTATTATGGTGTAGCGCCAAACATCATTTTCGTGATTAATGCAATGTTTCATATTTTATTGCTTTAAGGTCTACAAAGCCTTCGAGTTTGTGCCATGCAGTGATATGGGCCTAAGTGTTAGGTGAGCAAACATTTACTCTTTCAGTCGCGAATATTTTTTCTCGAGGGAAAAACATCTCCCTCATTTTACATAACATTTTCATTTGCGTTAAAAACACACACACACACACAAATTTTAGCTTTGATTTTGGAAATATTCGAATAACTATGTACGTTTGTGTCTCAGGTTTGCATCTGGCCACGCCGTGGTCACGCATGTTCAAGAAGGAAGTATCGCTGCTGAGGATGTAAGTGTCTAGAATGTTATGTCCCATAGGCTTTTCAAGGTCTTTCATTTTCTACATATAGCAACGTAATATAAGAACCTTATTTGAGTTGGCAGATATCTTGAATTTCAGCTAACAAAATAACTACTAAAATTGTTTAAAAAAACAACAACAAAAAAGAACAACAGGAGAACATCGTTGGAAATTGCAGACAATAATTATTCATGACAGTAATTTATTTGTTTCTATATCCATACATTTTAAAAATTACATTATAAACTCTTAATGTAGGAAGTTTTTCATTTAAGTCTTGCCATCGTGGAAGCAATTCTAGTGTCGAGACACATTGACATTTTCCAAATAACCTCAAACGCGCCTCAAATTTGATGTCCTAATGAATGTCATAATTGTCATAATTAAGTGTTCTTTCTAATACGTATACCCACTCCTGCCTTGGCCAGTCGATGGCTGACAGTAGGGAATAAATAATAAAAAATCAATATGAGCCAATGTTAAATTTTTATATGAAGACATCAATATTGGGCGCATATTAGCGTCTCGCTTTATTTTCAACGAATTTCTTAGTTTAGAAATGGGGATAAACTATACTTGTTAAAGTTGTAATTTGTATACTGAAAGCTGGCTGTCATCCACGTTTGTGAATAATGCCACTGTTTAGCTAAAGACGGCTTTGTTTATAATAAAGTAACTGTGTTTAGTGTACGTTTAGACGGCGGAAAGTTAGTCAGCCCATATGGGTATCAGGTGCCTCCACTGTAGATGAGAGATTCAGCCAGTGCAGTACTATAGCCTGTGGTCTTTAATGTGCACCACGCAGCAGTGATGCACGGTTGCACACCGATAGAAGATTCATGCAGATCGAAACGGGTAGGATTGGGGTTTAAACACGAGATCCTTCCTGGGTTCTGCAGCACGGTTTTGCTTGACGCATATGCAAGGTTTCTAGAAGAAGTGGTGTTGCATCCCTCAGGACCAGGTCCAGGTTGGGGACGTTCTGGACGAGCTGTACGGGGAGGCAATCAATGGACGGAAGCGGGGCGCCATCTCTGCCCTCTTGAGTCACTTCGAGGGTCTTCCTGTTTATGCATCCTTCGTCAAGGTGAGGTCCAGCCTACAGATCGCCAGCCGTTGGCTGAGGCACGGGCATCGTGTCTCTATATTCAATGCCTTCAATATCCGAAGACTGTAGATTGTATTCATTCATTGTACCGCCATGACTGTGAGACATTGTTATCTAAGGAAGAAAAAATATTCTGAATAACATTTTTACCGTTGGGTAAGGAACAGACATCAAGTGTCCACAATCCAGTCAGAATCTGATGACTCAGTATTGCGTTAACTATGTTTGTTTATTTCAAATTGGACAGTGCAGGGTTGCCTTGGAGCTCCGACAGCAAAAGGCGATAGCAAATGTCACCTGATTAGCACCAGACTACATCTGAAACACAAGCAGCACTACAGCAAAGCAACAGAAATACAACATGAAAACTCCAAATATACCAGAATATACAAAACACACAACGCAACAAAAATATTTGAAATAAAAGCCAATAAAGACATTCAAACTAGGAAATACATCTTTGATTGTTTCCTGAAGGTCTGTGGAGAGGATATGTGTTCCACTATATCAGTTAAGTCAGGTTAATGTTCTGGAGGTTTAGAGTTTGCCAATTCAATAGTTGTGTGCCATAGTTCTGGTTCTAGCTTTTACCAAATGTCTATGTCTAAAATTGTAGTGAGTATCAGAACAGAAAAGATAATTCGCGGCCAGCGTTTAGTTCCCTAAAGTTACTTAAAAAAAGATTCTTATAATCTTGAGAAGCTATTTGTCTTGATCAGAAAAAAAAGCCAAACGGAACAATCATATTTTAGTTGAGGAGTCACCTTTTTCGCTCCACTGCTCCCTACGAGAATCAAGAATGGTTAAGATGAAGAGGAATGTTGAGGTACACTGTGAACAGCACAAACAAGTTGTCGATGTGTTTTCTCGATTCCAGTTCTTGAATTGAAGGACTCATCAGAACTACAATGTGGTGAAAAGTACTCAATGGAAGCATAAACGGAAGAGGTCAATTGATGCCCGAATACCATGCCTTTGCAAAGTACACAAAAAGCGCCGATGTCGTATTCTTGTTAACCGTGTCACGCAGTTTACGTCAGTCGCAGTTACAGCTGTGATCAAAGCACTGATACGTCCAGAAAAGTAAAGGCGACCTCGAAAGTAATAATTAGCTGCTGATTCACAAGTAATAAATTGCTACGAGAAAAAAAAATTCACCTGGTCAATTTGGAGCGGTCGGAGCGCTCGTTGTTTGCATCTTCGGTTTAGCCAAAGTGGGTTCAAACTTACATACTGACAGGATCGACAAACTGGTCCTAACCGGTTCAGAAGACCGACCGAATTCACCATTGGACGGTAAGCGTAGTGCATCTATGTGATTAATAGCTCGCGTAAATGAAGCCTCAGAAGGTTGTGATGCGCTTTGAATCTCTCGTGACACTCCAGACTATGTACGCGGGGTGGCTTTTCTTGCTCTGCAGAGTTCTCTGCCAGACAGGAGTCCCTACCCTCCGGTAGAAGACCTCCTGCGATCTCTCGGAATGGCCAACGTTTACAAAACGGCAGGCAACGATTCTTCCGAGGAACCAACTTCGGATGTGCCCTTGTCAAGTCCCAGCCTGATCCTTGGGGACTTTGACAGGCTGCCCGTCAACACTCCCCAGGAGAGGTGTGTGGGAACACGAGGACGGCATCGGAGCTGGCCACATTACTTTGATTTAGTAATTAAACTACATTACAAATTTTTTTGCCGAATACTACGGAAGTATAATTAAATTACATTACGCATTACCACATCGTAAAAGTAATTAGTTACAGTTACAAATCACTTCAAAGAAGTAATGACATTTCTTTGAAATTACTTTTTGTATAGTAGAAACTTCAGTGAAGTCTTATCTTGCGCTTACCAAATCCTCTCTTGAACTCGACTAGTGAAGAGAATGCGGAGTTTGTTCGTAATATCCGGGTGTACAACCTGCTCCACTGCCTAGCTCTACGAATACCTCTTCGATTCTATGGCGCCTTACATTTTGTTAATCTCTGCATCCTTAATTCCTGGCTTGTTCCTAAATTATGTTCAAGGGGCAATGACAAAACTCACGCCAGGAGCTCCTTTATTAAAAAAAAAAATCATCACACCGGTTTTGAGAACAAAGGTTCCGTCTCTGCAGTTTTCTCTACTGTATCACTCCCCTCCTCTCTTTATTTTTTTTACTAGTAGAGTATCACTGTGTGTCAGTGGCGGATCCAAGGGGGGGGGGGGGGGGGCGGTGGGGGCGATCGCCCCCCCCCCAAACGCCTCGCCATTTTTTTTTTTTTTTTGTGGAGCCATTGTTTTTTTTATATTTTTTGTCTTTTCGCTCGCTTTTGAAGCACATCCCTTGGTACGCCAAAAAGTGTGGCGGCAACGCGAAGGGAGTGACGCTGTTGCTTCACTTTCAAGAGCATTCGTAGTGTTACTTATGCGCCATGAAGCCCCTGTTGTCTTTCTTTTGTACGTTTTGATCCTCCTAGACACCGAGAGGAAAATATGACTCAGGAACAACCAGGAAACTGGTACATTATTGACACACGCGTCATACAATGCTACATTGTCGCGTTTTGTCTCGCGCGTATCCCGTTACGCGAATAATTATTTCCGTAAAAAAAGCACGCTGAACACTCAAATTTGGTCTGCATGAAGCGAATAAAACTTAGGAATGAAATTAAATTATACCTTGGTAGAAAGTCTGTGCCAACCGGGGCGTACTTCTCGAAGCGAAATCTCGCGCGGAATTATGCCGGAAAGGACTTGCCAAAGGCAGTCATTTATGGCTCACGCAAAGTGAACAGGCTAAGGCACGTCTCAGTGAAGCTTGAGACTTGTGTCTAGGTGATAGCTGGCACTAAACAAAAACTTTCGTTGGATGCCTTCACTCCAACTGTCGCATTTTGCCCCGCGTCTCATTTGGCCCATCTTACCCTACTTCACTTTGGACAAACGCAATCTATTAGTTTTGGAGCTGCCCCCACACGAGTGTTCGTGCGGTCGAGGTGTTTTTTGACATATTAGTAGTAGTAACCAGGCATTGTGTGCAGCTTTTATCGGCGCCCAGCATGCTCGGGCTCACAAGCGCTTAGCTTCGAAAGCATACACTGTAAAAAGTAACCGTCAAATTTACGGCGCTATACGCTAATAAAAACTACGAGTACGCCGTGAAGAGGAATTATCTGAAATGCACCGTAAACGAGCAAAAAAAAAAGTGAAAGCCGTTTACAAATCCCTGTAACGCCGAATTGGAGCGCAGCTCTTGAGGAGGAGGAGGGAAGGGTACTGAGGGGAGGGTAGACCCCTCCTCCTCCTCCTCCTCCCCTAATTCTTTAATATGCTCCGGGGGGGGGGGTCACGTGACCTCGGGGGGGGGGGGTGTCACGTGACTTCGGGGAGGGGGGTCACGTGACCTCGGGGAGGCGTGACCTGGGGGTCACGTGACCTTGGGTGTCACATGGGGGCCACCTCAAGGTCACGTGACCCCCAAGGTGACGTGACCCCTCCAGGTCACGTGACCCCCAAGGTCACGTGACCCCTTGAGGTCACGTGGGGGTCACCTTGGGGTCATGTGACCTTGAGATGACCTTGGGAGGGGTCACGTGACCTCGGGGGTCACGTGACCTTGGGGAGGAGACCACGTGACCTCGGGGGTCACGTGACCTCAGAGGGGTCACGTGACTTGGGGGTCACGTGACCTTCAAAGGGTCACGTGACCTTGAAATGACCTTGGTAGGGGTCACGTGACCTCGAGGGGTCACGTGACCTTGGGGGTCACGTGATCCCAAGATGACCCCATGTGATCTTCAGGGGGTCACGTGACCTTGAGATGACCTTGGGAGGGGTCACGTGACCTTGAGATGACCTTGGGAGGGGTCACGTGACCTTGGGATGACCTTGGTTACGCCGACGGCAACGGCGACGCCGACGCCGCTCAAGCCGGGAACGGGCCCCTAAGAGCTGCGCTCTAAAATGAAAGCCGCTTACAACTCCCTGTAACGCCGAATTAGAGCGCAGCTCTTGAGGAGGAGGAGGGAAGGGCACTGGGGGGGGGGGTTAAACTAACCAGGGGGGGGGGGGGTCACGTGACCTTGGGGGTCACGTGACCCCCAATGCCGATGATGTCATCACTGACGTCACTGCTGACGTCATCAGTGACGATGACGATGCGGGTACCGATGACGTCATTAGTGACGTCACTGATGACTTCACCAGTGATGATGACGATGACGATGCGAATGTCGGTGACGTCATCAGTGACGTCGCTGATGACGTCATCAGTGATGATGACGATGACGATGCGGATGCCGGTGACGACATCAGTGACGTCACTGATGACGTCATCAGTGATGATGACGATGACAATGCGGATGTCGGTAACGTCATCAGTGATGATGACGATGACGATGCGGATGCCGGTGACGTCATCAGTGATGATGACGATGACGATGTGGATGCCGGTGACGTCATCAGTGATGATGACGATGACGATGTGGATGCCGGTGACGTCATCAGTGATGATGACGATGACGATGTGGATGCCGGTGACGTCATCAGTGATGATGACGATGACGATGGGATGCCGGTGACGTCATCAGTGACGATGACGATGACGATGCGGATGCCGGTGACGTCATCAGTGATGATGACGATGACGATGTGGATGCCGGTGACGTCATCAGTGACGATGACGATGTGGATGCCGGTGACATCAGTAATGATGACGATGACGATGCGGATGCCGGTGACGTCATCAGTGATGATGACGATGACGATGTGGATGCCGGGGACGTCATCACTGATGATGACGATGTGGATGCCGGTGACGTCATCAGTGATGATGACGATGACGATGTGGATGCCGGTGACGTCATCAGTGACGATGACGTCATCGGGGGTCACGCGACATCGGCGGGGGTCACGTGACCTCGAGGAGGGGGTCACGTGACCTCAGGGGAGCCACGTGACTTTGGGGGTCACGTGACCTCGGGGGGTCACGTGACCCCCCACGAGGTCACGTGACCCCGGTGGGGGCTCGCGCGGTGCATTATGGGACATTTCCCATGATGCACCGCGCGGTTACGCCGACGGCGACGCCGACGGCGACGGCGACGCCGCTCAAGCCGGAAACGGGCCCCTAAGAGCTGCGCTCTAAAACCGAGAGGGAAACGCAAAACTTCATGGAGCAAGAAAACAGAAAGAAAAAACGCGCTTCGCTAATTGGTCACCACTCTTGACCTTTCGGAAGCTGCGGGAACCCAGAGGGTCTCCTCTCGCCCCTTCACCTCCTTTCTTTGTCCGCGCCAGCAGCGCCAACGCAGAGCGTAACTGCCTTAACTGAAAAAGGAAAAAAAAGAGAACTAAGAGCAAACAGTAGAGCAACAATGCGACTAGCTAGAAGCATAAACAAAAGAAAGGAACGTTGGTTGGGACAACGCGGAAAGAAGTGGAAAAAGCTGACGTTCAGTTCATTTTCCCGCCTTCCCACCCGTCTCCGCGCCATTTTGTCCTCGTTCGTTTGTGGCATTCCCAGATTTTTGTGCACCTGAAAATGTGGAGCGGAAGGCAACTGGATACTCGAGGCAGGTATTTCACTATCAATCTGCTGCTTGATTGGCAAGGATAGTGTAATGGTGGCATAAATACAACGCTCTAAAAGATGTTTACTTGCAGAATTTGTAGTTTCTGTTCAAGCACGCTTGATGGTTGTGCAATTCGATGAGCACGTTTTCAGCTCTCGAATTCTTCAGTGTGTGGACGAAGGATGCTGTCGCCAGTTTGTTACGTATGATGCTCTCAGGTGTCATATTTTGAGAAGACATAGGCATTGGTACGCCTAAGGGAAGTTTGGTTTGTTTCGAGGAGTTTGGAAAGCTTTCAGTGCACTTTGCCACCATGCCTAGAGGAGTGCCACACAAGGGAGGCTTTGCTAAAACATCTAAAAGGCCACATCACCGGCAGCATTTTGTTTTCGTGTTCGTGCTCCAACTGTCAGAAGGTGTGAAATCATAGTTCGATCGCGGCACATTTGAACTGGGCGCATTTACGAGTGACGGGTTTCTTGGGCGACGGCGCATCGCCTGCAGGCCCGCGTCAGGTTGAGGACTCTTCGACTCGGTCGACTAGTGCGGATTCTAATGAAGACGGTGCTGTTAACGTGATGCAATCCCCTAATGATAACTACGACGTGTTAATGTCTCTGTCTGCAGGAGAAAAAAGGAAGGCCGTAAAATATGACCTTGTTTTTTTTTGTACCTGAAGTTCAACGGAACGCTTCTTATGCCGGTATCAACAGTTCAAAAAACCATTTATGAATTTCAACGTCGGCATTTCTTGTACAAACAATACATGTTCGGCCAACTTGCTGAAAGCCTTGAAAACGTGCTTGGTTCAGTCGAGGTTCATAACATCATTGAGTTGATAACATCACTATACAATGATGTTATGAACCTGAATACTACCACCTTTCTCGTCGTTTAAATTGCACCGTAAACATAACGGCGCGCTGTAAATTGTTTTTACCGCAAATTTGAAGGCCGACCGTAGATTAAACGGTCGGCCTTCAAATTTAAACGGGGATCTACGGTCCCCGTTTAAATTTATCGTAAACCAGATTTACAGTGCACCGTTATTTTTACTGTACAAGTTTGGCAGCATCAGCTGCCTGGTATTTGACCGTAAATTTTACGGTCAAATTTACAGTCAGGACGCTACAGTGTAGCGTCCTGACTGGTGCCCCATACGAGCAGGCACGTATGGCGTGCACGTGAATATAGCTTTGGTAAGCTTGCAATTGCACGTGATTTTCCGCATGAGCAGAGACATTGCGTTGGCCAGATGCCCAGCTTTCTGAGGCTATGCAGTCAAAAGTACGGGAGCGTGTGCCTTGGTGTGCATAGCCACAGAAAGTTCAAAGAGTTCATCCCTTACAGGTAAACCGATACAAAAGCTCTCAAGATATATATTATGTTATCAGAGTTTAGTAAAAACGATGACTCCACAAAAAATATAAACACTCCCCCCCCCCCCCCCCCCCCGTTTTACGCCGAGCAACCGCCCCCCCCCAAAATGGAGGTCTGGATCCGCCCCTGCTGTGTGTGTGAGTGCTTGTGCTCTGGCTATTGTACGCTTCCAACCACCTAATATATGTGTCGTCTTCAAGATGTGTCTGACTCCCTACATGACCGTAAGTCCCATAATGTATTTCAGAGTGTAAGACCAATATTTGTTGTACAAAGGAGTGTGGAGGAAGCAGCATAATCAGGTTAAAACGATCCTAATTTATGTAACTGTGTATGCACATTTTGCCTTGCAGCTCTGGTTATCCCGCAATTTATCTCGGCAAGTGGTACGTTGGAAATGTAAGATTTTGAATTTTATATGTTTGCTTTGTTTCGTCATGTGTCGATTAGCTAAACAATTTGAGTAATTTTAAATATAACTGTATAATTTTCAAAGTAACCTAAACACATCTAATGTTTTTTTTTCTAAAACAATATGCTATTTTTAATTTGGCTGGCAACTTTCCGGGTATGATGCATTTTTAGATTGAACACAAAAGCTGCATAAATATTAAAAAAAAATATAAAAAAAAATTGAAAAAAAAAATTGAGATGAGTTATATTTGGAACAAGAAGTAGTCAGGAGCACATTTTAATGAAACATTGAATCCTGCAAGTTCGTATCAAATCCAAATTTTTTGTTATAAATATGGAAATGTTTTCAGTAGATATGTTGGCTATAGGAGGAAGATAGAAAATCTAATTGCGAGAAGTTACCAAGGGTATCCCAATTAAAAATACTTCACAGAATCTTATAAGCTTTTTAAATAGCTAATACATCACGTGCACAGGTTAACGGACTGCTTTAATATAGCGTATATTTCGGACTATAGTCCGCAAATAGTCCACAAGGGCGAATTTGAGGTCAAAAACTAAAGTTTTTGCTTATATTGTTCGCAACAGGTGCATAGTCCGCATGTGGCGCATAATGCGCACTTAGGGCCCAATCAAAAGGTAAAAATTAAACTTACGCAGCACACCTTGACGGTTGCCTGCTGTATTAGCTCACAAAGAAGCTTGTATAAAAATAAATCACTAATAATATAATATGATACTCATAAAATCATTCCTGTCGCAGTGAACGATCTAAGAAAATACAAAACCTTGTATAGTCCGTCCTCGTAGATAGTCCGCACCGAGTAAAATTTCAACTTCTAAATATGTATAGTCCGCGAACTATTTCAATAGTTGAACTTTTCTATTTTTGCTGGTTTCCTCCTCTTTTTCATCTTCCACTTTCCCTTGCTTAGAGAGCGTCCGGCACTAATTCTCTCCAAAAGGAGCGCGCAGAGTCATACTCCCTTTTCTTTGTCTCTCAAACAAAAAAAAACTTATACCAAAAAAGAAACGAGAATTTTTATGTTATATTTACACGTCTATGGAAGATCTGCTGGGTGTCCCATTGGAGGCTGGTTTACACATTTGCGTTTGACTGTGACCGACTGCATTACGACGACTTGTGCCAGCTTGCGACAAGGGAACACCTGGCGCCATCTCTCGGGTAGTCCTGGAACACTTCCGATTATCGTTTCACAATGCAAGGTTTTGCAATATTGGCGAGATAAAATCTACGCACAATCTACGAGATATGATCGCTTATCAGGTTGTCAGAGTTATTTTTAGCCCGAAATAAGAGTAGGAAAAAATATATGAAAACCAAAGTGTTCTGTGGACGTCCGGTAGATGGCGCCAGTTTGGTAATTTCGTCGCCAGTGGTCACAATAAAACGCGAATGTACGAACCGGTCTTGACGGGTAAGGCGCTCTTGCAGAGCCTGATGCTGCGTCGGCTGGTTGCGTGCTCGCCGACCAAAGCGGGACCATCCTGGACAGGGATTGGCTATGTGCACAAAGAGATCAGTAGCCGCTGGGTAATGATGTTCCAACAGAATTTTGAAAGCAAAAATACCACTGCGCTTAGACGATCCCCTATTACTTCGATCGGAGATAAATATATTGGATGGCTATACATCTGGATGCTGGCATGCGGGCAATGTCAGAACGAAGAAGGAGAAAATAAAACTTCAGTTGGCTTAAATAAAATGCAAACACATTTTTGTTTAAGGGGACAAAGAATGTAACAGCGTATAGTGCGTCGGACGCAAAACAAATCATGTTAGTGGCAGTTCTTTAGAATTAAAGAAAACATATGTTATATTTGGAGCAGCAATGCTAGTAAGCATTTGGCGTTACCATGTAAAAACGAGTGACACCTACACGTTATTATGATTGGCATAAATCAATTCATACATTTTGTCTAAAAGCATTATGCACTTTTCTCCCCTGTTAAGAATGCATCTTGGAGTGGAGAGTGTCTGTGTAAAATGTGGTAGAATATCTTTTGTGTGGTCTCATGTTAAAGGCCGACGACTGAACTCCAGATTCTGCAAGGCAGAAGATCCTCCTCACCCTGGGGGAGGAGGAAACAGACCACGTGGACAGGATAGAAGGGGGAGAGGAGGAAGCGAGGAAAAAGTGGAAAGAGCGAACTGGTCGTCGGCCTTTAAGAAAGCAAAAAAACTGCACGCACTTGCAAGAAAAAAAAAACATGTTTAACTTCTTTTTTTTTTTTGCACGCAAGCAAAGCTTGACATTTAAAAGAGTTTTATGCAACATTTGTGATTCAACAGCAAATGACCATTGTTTACTAAGCTACAATTTACATTACGATGGATCGCAACGGGATGCCACGAGCCATCGGAACCAATCGCATGTCTTCTAACCTAGGGAAGGGGCGGAGCAATGCGTAGGTCGCTTACAGTCACCCTGTTCGTTCACAGCTCTGGATTGGTTCGTACATCCGCTGCAGTCTGTGGTAAGGTTAAACGGAGTATCGGCATGTTAGGGGGAAGAGAGTGCATACATACCACTGAACCCGACTGATTTATTGAGGTATTATAGGGAACTGGTTAGGGGTACTTTTTCGAAGTTGGTAGATCATCACAACCAAATGTGGTAGACACCCACAATCGAACCAGATCAGTTTTCACGTTCCTTTCCCAAAGAGGAAATATTTTTTAAAAGGAATATTACAAGTGAATTCCGCGGGCGTGACCAAAGGGTCGAAGTCTTACTGCCAGTCGGAATTAGTTATCCTTATATTTCGATTCAAAACTGACAAGCCGGCGAATGGATCTTGACAATCTAACGTTTCTTCTCGGTGTTTCATCTCCTTGACAGGAGGGACATGTGTTGCAGATTGAGCGAAGCATTGGGGAGGTGACCAAGCGGATAGAAGAGCAGCATCCGGTGCGTCTGCGATTTGTGATGAGTGAAACTGTAGACGTAGCGGCTAACTACGGATTATATACGGCGCGCAAATTCGTCTGCTTCTTTTAGTAGGGGTTGTGGTGACGTCAGAATGCCGAGCTTTGATTGGCTCTGATGGAATGATAGTGGGTAGACATCAAAGCAAGCTTCCTTGAGGTCTACCCACTATCCTTCAGTTTGAGCCAATCAGGGCTCGGCGTCTCTCTGACGTCATCACAACCCCTGCAAAAGAAGCAGACGAACTTGTACTCCGCATACACTCCACGCGTTGCTAATGCAGTTATGCATGGAGCATAATACTTTATGATGAATGTGCAAACTGTAGTTTTTGTAGTTATAAATTTGTAACGCATGGTGTGCACTGATGAAAAATTGGAACATACCTAGAACGCCTGTGAAGATTTTGCTTAGACATGCATTAACACACTAATAATTCTCTATAGAATCGGAGATCTAGTTAACAAACGTATTAATGGTGTCACAATTATTACTTACGCATAGTCTAAAGCAATCTGGGTAATGTCTAATATGTGTGATAGGAATTCAGACTAAATTTTCACTTTTCACAAAGTCCGCGTATTTTACCCCATTTAAGTGGGCCACCTTTAGTGAACAGTATACTGCGAAACTATAATAATCTGCTGATTAAATAGTTATCTACCGTGACATGTTCAGTCAAGAAGCAATATATGTGATGCAACCGAACATATGTTTCGATGGAAATTTTACCGCACATGTTTTTTGTGAGAGTTTCAAGAATGTTTATGAATTGTTACTGTTCTTAATGAAGTCTTTCCTGGACATGATTGCTGTGTATTCGTTCGGTAGTATTCTTAGCTTAGGGAAATTGGTGAGAATATATTTGTGGTAGTCATGAAACAAACGAGAGAATGATTACGTAAGAAGGTAAAGGACGCGGGCATGTCCATCATTTTGAAGTATACATGATACATGAAGTATGTGCCTGTGTCGTTTCTTCTCCCACGTTTCTATTTTTTTCGACCGTTTCTTATTTTAGAGAAGCTCGAGGGCCTCACACAGTAAACAACAAATAATTGATGTGTCACAAACTGAGCTTACATAGTAAATTACGCTCCAGAGATGAAAATAATTGGTCGCGAAACTTTTTTCCATGCAGTTCACCACGAGAAAAGTAATAATTGACATCGATGATTGCTACATCAAGGTTCTCAGCCGTTTCACCAAAGAGGTGAGGAGTGAAAATGCTTCGCTGAGTAGAATAATACTTTTAGACTTGTCTTTGGGTCTAGGCAAGGGGTGGTATAAAAATTCCCATGTACGAATGACACGGAATTTGGTATTCTGTTTAATCAGCCCGCGCACATTTTCTTCGTAAAATACGTGGATTTTACTGAGAAATATTCACGCCTATCTAGAAACTGCCTTTATCAATAATATGCGCATTAGTATATGTCATGTTCTCTGCTGCCTAACTGGAATGCCACATGAAAGTGCATTGTTGAAAAAATAACGAGTGATAGAACGCAAAAAATGAAGTAATATATTTTTATGACAATTAAAAGTGTTGCATCTAGTTGACGTTGTTTTGTAATTCTTACAGCAACAGATGTTATGGGCCCTTCTCACCGCAGGAAATGAGGTTCATTGATAATGGTGTAGTTTGCCATTTTGGGCGTCCGGGGTCAAGGTTGCCAAATTCTTTAAAAAGATCGCTTGCCGCACGCTGGAATCGAATCCGGGGATCCGCTGCTTGTGAACCGGGCTCATAAGCACTGAGCCACTGTACATCGTTAATAACCCGCCCTAAACTGCAGGGGTTTTGTAGTACCATAGCCTCCTATATACTGACAAAACCTGGCAGATCGCCACGAGAAGCGGCCGCCAAAATGAAAAAGGTGGAGCGGCAGACAACGGGTGAGAGGAGAGCCATGTGACTGGCGCCCCGCTGCGGTAAGACGCCGAAACGCGGCGTCTCGCCGCTGTCACGCTAGACGCTGCGGCGAGACATAAGTACCCAAAAGTGTGTTTCGGGCCCTCGCCGCTGCAAAAGCTTTGCGCTGACGTCCTGGTTCCCCGAGAAATGGCTATTTGATGCCCTGTGCTACCAGATCCTCGCGCTTCAAATCTGCGACCGTGTACTCTATTGCTCCGCCGTCAAATTGCCAGGCTTTGTGTGTATAGAGGAGGCTGTGGTAGTGCCATAGCTTCCTCCATACTGACAAAGCCTGGCAGATCGCCACGAGAAGTGGCCGCCGAAAATGAAAGGGTAGAGCGGTAGACAACGGATCAGAGGAGAGCCACGTGACGAGCGCCCCGCTGCGGCGAGACGCTGAAACACACTTCTCCCGAGCGATGGAATGTCCGCTCGTGCTCCTCGCGTTCCCGCTTCTTCTCTCGTCGGGTTTGAAAACCATGTTTCGGGTCCTCGCCGCTGCAAAAGCTGTGCGCTGACGTCCAGGTTCCCTGAGAAATGCTATGTGCTACCATACCCTCGCGCTCCAAATCTGGGACCGGGCACTCTGTGGCTCCCGTCGTCGAACTGCCAGGCTTTGTGAGTACAAGGGAGGCTACGGTAGTACCCAATGCCTACACAAGCTCTCTAAAAAAAAAAAAAAAAAAAGAAGAAAAGCTGTCGTGGCACGGTAGCACTATCAACGCCAAGTGCTCGTGCGCTTTCACGCACTTTGGAAAAGAAAAGAAGGAACAAAAGCGTTTGGAACAAAATGGAATAAATTAAAAGCGTTCGGAACAAAAGAGATGTCTATTTTGTTCCAAACGCTTTGGTTCACGCACCTCACTACCCCACTGTCCATGAACGCGACGCGGATGCCCAACGACTACGCCGTCGCAGCTATCGCTGTGGCTGTACTGTGGATTAACGCAAGACCGCTCAATTCTTGTAGGTGCTACTAACGAAACACTACACTGAAATAGCTTCGTGCGGAAGGCGGAACGACATGCCGTGTCTCTTTGCCATTGTTGCCGGGTGAGTTTTGCCATTTTCACTTTCGACATTTGCGACGAACAGGGAATTTCGCGTTTGATCACGAATACGAGTGTACGCGTGCTAATCCAGAGTGAAATATTTTGGATTACACCACAGGTTGCCTTTCATTCAAAATGGTGACTCTTTCATGCAGAGATGTATCAAAAATATTATTATTATTATTTTATTCTACATGACGCATTTATTGCAAGTCACACTGACATGTTCTAATCTGAAGATGCGTTTTTATTTTAGAGCGTAGCTCTAAGGCGCCCGTTTCCGGCTTGAGCGGCGTCGGCGTAGCCGCGGGTTGGATTATGGGATATATCCCAGAATGACGTCACACGTGACGCCACGTGTGACGTCACGAGGGTCATTCGTGATGTAACACGTAACGTCACCGCGCGTTGCATCATGGCTAAATTTCCCCGCTAAATTTAGCGGAAAAGTTTTCCCGCTAAATTTAGCGATAAAGTTTCCCCGCTAAATTCATCGAAAAAACTCCCCGCTAGTATTAGTAAAAAAAAAAAAAAAAACCCGCTAAATTTAGCGAAAAAATTTCTCCGCTAAATTTATCGGGAAATTTAGCGAACATTTCCTGCTAAATGGGAGAGGAGCAGGAGAGGAAGGTACGGATGAGGAGGAGGGGCATACGCTACTCTCCGTTTCTTCCCCTCCTCCTCAAGTGCTGCGCTCTAATTCGGCGTTACAGGGGATTGTAAACGTCTCATTTTTTTTCCTCCTCGCAGTTCAATTTACTGGTTTAAGTTCAGTCAAACAACGAATGAAACAACCTTACCTGTGGCGCCACGCGGGAAAGCGGAGAAAAAGAGAAACTCGCGCGTGATGTCATGGCCTCCGAGCTTCGCGTGCGCACTCTTCGGGATCTCGGAGGCCATGGTGATGTGCTTGCTACCCGTAGGGGACTGCATCGCGGGTGACTGTTATGTTTCATTTTTAGAGCGCAGCTCTTAGGGGCCCGTTCCCGGCTTGAGCGGCGTCGCCGTCGGCGTCGCCGTTGGCGTCGCCGTAACCAAGGTCATCCCAAGGTCACGTGGCCCCCAAGGTCATCCCAAGGTCACGTGGCCCCCAAGGTCACCCCAAGGTCACGTGACCCCCCCCCCCCCCCGAAGTCACGTGACACCCCCAGGTCACGTGACCACCCCCAGGGTCACGTGACCCCCCGCCGAGGTCACGTGACCTCCCCGATGACGTCATCGGCATGACGTCATCGGCATCCGCATCCTCATCATCACTGATGACGATGACGATGCGGATGCCGGTGACGTCACTGATGACGTCATCAGTGATGACGATGACGATGCGGATGCCGGTGAGGTCATCAGTGACGTCACTGATGACGTCATCAGTGATGATGACGATGACGATGCGGATGCCGGTGATGTCATCAGTGACGATGACGAGACCCCCCGCCGAGGTCACGTGACCGGGGGTGTCACGTGACTTCGGGGGGGCATTCGCATCGTCATCGTCATCATCACAGATGACGTCATCAGTGACATCACTGATGACGTCACCAGTGACATCACTGATGACGTCATCAGTGATGATGACGATGACGATGCGGATACCGGTGAGGTCATCAGTGACGTCACATGACGTCATCAGTGATGATGACGATGCGGATGCCGGTGACGTCATCAGTGACGATGACGTCATCGGGGAGGTCACGTGACCTCGGCGGGGGTCACGTGACCTGGGGGTGTCACGTGACTTCGGGGGGCATCCGCATCGTCATCGTCATCATCACAGATGACGTCATCAGTGACGTCACTGATGACGTCACCGACATCCGCATCGTCATCATCGCTGATGACGTCATCGGAGTCCGCATCGTCATCGTCACTGATGACGTCATCAGTGACGTCACTGATGACATCATCGGCATGGTCACGTGACTCCCCAAGGTCACGTGACCCCCCAGGTCACTTCACCCCCCCAGTACCCTTCCCTCCTCCTCCTCAAGAGCTGCGCTCTAATTCGTTGTTACAGGGAGTTGTAAACGGCTTTCACTTTTTTTTCCCCACTCTTCCGGGTTCACAGCAATCTGGGAATTTCCCGCTAACTTTGGTGTAAAAAAAGTTTGTAAAATCTAGTAAAAAACCAAGCGGAATTCACTGGCAAGGCGTTTCATTTCTAAAAAGAACATACTCGTCTGCAAATCCCGAGAAAAATGTTTATAGCTCTATGAGCAAAACATTTTTTTTTAAAGTTTAAATAAGTTTCTTTTTAGCTTTTTGAATGTCTATATTGGAGTGAAAACGGATGGCGGAGCTATGAAGTAGAGTGCAGCAAATCATTTAGAAAAACTACCTGTTTGACAAGCTAATTTTTAATTTTCATACGAGAATTACGGAAACCATTTTGGTTCCGAGTTCTTCCCTTTCCTCCCTCTTAACGTTCTAACTGCGCTTTCTTTTGATCATTTTAATGATAAGAAAACGCCTTTGCTTTCGTGCTATTAAGGTGTTGTTAGAATGTCCAGCTCCTCAGAAGTCAGATACAGTGAAACCCATTTAGAACGAACCCACGTACAGCGAAATATTGTCAATATCGAACTCACGGAAAATTTAAATTAAAACGCATGTAAAAAGTGCTTTTTATAACAAGGAACACATTCGCTATATCAAACTTTTTCCCTCGGAAAGGCTTCCAAAAACGCGCAAACAATCGTCTTTAGGCCGTCCCCCCCCCCCCCCCCCAAAAAAAAAAAAAAAAAAAAAAATTAGGAAAGAAATGTACAAAAGCTCGAGCCGTGAACAAAAATTGAGCGAAGAGAAGCGATTCAGAAGGGGAGAAAGCTAGAAAAACACTGCACGCACGCACAGAAAAAAGAGATTTTTCATCCCAAAGTGGGTGCCCACGAAGAGAAGCAATTCGGAAAGGGAGATAAGCTGAAATAACAATATCTGCACGCCTGCTAAAAAAGAAAAAAAAAAAAAAGAATTTCAGCGCATTGTTACAAGACGGAAGCGAAGAGATGAGAAAGAAAGAGAAGCTCTTGCCTTACAACGAACGTATCGTGGATGTTTGTTGCTAAGCGGGAAACACATGTACGACGAAACCTTCCGATCCGACCTGCGGACTGCCGGAATGACCTTGGGGGGAGAGGGTTTTCGTAGCATCGGAGAGCGTTGAAAACCCTCGCCTCCGACCGTCGTATTGCGCCGTCGGACGTCGGATCGGACGGTTTCGTCGTACATGTGTTTCGTGCTTAAAGGGGCAGTCAAGTGGTTTTTGAGTTTGTGTTTTGATAATGACAGCTGAATTTAGACGCCTTAAGTATCCCTAAAAACCAAAAAGTATAGTCATACGGTGATTATTTCTTTAATAAAAATGTAATAGAAGGCCGCCAAACCTCGGATGCATCCGAAAACGAAAGCACTCTCATTGGTCGTCGCACGCTTATCAAAAGGATCTCGGGCCAATGGCGTTGGACGACGTTCCGTCGCGCAGTGATCCCGAGGTAGCCGCATCGGCCGAACCTCTTTGTCATTCGAGCTTCGATCATGGCGGAGTTCTCTACGCTCGAGGACCTGACGCCGTTAGAGGTTGAAGTTCTTCGGCGGACAGCCGACCTGGGGATGATTTCCTATGACGCCACTCCGACGTGCGATGTGGACGATAGCAGCGCTTCGGAGTCATGTTCGGGTTCCGAGGACGACGAAACGCGGACCTTTTCGGGCGTTCTTCGATTTGCGGTTGGGGCAAGTCGTAACCAAACCAACGTTTGACATCGCAGCGTTACCTCTGGTACGTGATGTCAAACGATGTCGCCACGTTGACTTTCGCCTCGGGAGAACGGGGGGAAGGCTGGTTCAGACATGTGCAACGAGCGCGTACCTACGACTGCGTCCGTTGCAACCGGAACGACCGCACTGCGCCGCGCGTACACGCACCTGTAACCACTACAACAAGCGCAGCGGGTCGTCAGCACGGCGACCGCTTCTGTACGCCGCCGTCAGCTGTGTCAGCGGCCCCTCTAAAAAAGGGGACGCACTGCTACTCAATGCCGTAACAGAATATAGACAGACAGTTTTCTAGTCTAAAGCTTTATTATTTTTTCTTGATAGGCTTGCAGGGTACAGCGAATGAAAAAAAAATAAAATAAAAAGATGCAGCGCCGTCTTGGACAATCACGACTCTAATACACGACATTGCAATAGAACAAATATCGCCACACGCCTTTTCTACGATTATAAAAGACAATGTAATCTTAGCAGCGATATAGCAACGTAGAAATATGATTTCGTGATCAGATAGACGTTGCGAGCGTTCAGGATTGCTAACCCTAATCACTTTTCTCCGGTGATGAAAACGCGTGAAAATTCGTATCCTTTATACGGTACGCGCCAGTAATACCTTGAACTTGAGCACACGCATGAAATGCGCCAAATCAGAAATCCGGGCGATGTTCGAGGACACAAATGCTTAGAAAGCACCACTGTAGTCGAAGTAAACAAACACGACGGCACGGGCGTTTCTGCTATCTTGAGAGTGCCGCCACGACATCGCCGCACGAGTAGGTGGATGTTCCCTTCTAGTACGTGCGGGGTTATCATAGCGAAACACGACGAAAATTCACTGTCAAGGATAGCGCTTTTACGCGGAACGATGAGCTTTCACCAGGCCGTCCATTCCGACGATCACCACCGACGCCACGTTTGCGGATAGAAGGAACCGGCCGGCCTGCAACGCGCGGAGATACGTGCGCTTCCGCGCATCCCTGGGGAACGGGAAATTCACCCCCCGCGGAGGAAGGCAAATAGAAAACGTAGTCCCTTGTTTGTGAAACGATAATTGCGCTATCGCGTATTCTAAACTAGAAATATTTTACATCTTGTGAAATTATCATGCACAACATATTTAAATGAACTGAAAATTGTTTTTTTAGCGAAACTTTAAAAAGACCGCCAAAATTTTCAAACATACGATAATTTCATTGGTCCTCGCAAGTACAGAAAAGAGTCCGCACGTATTTTATTCCTGCGTGATTAATAGGCGTTTCTGCCTTCTAAAACTGAAGATACTCATTCACTGACACTTCCTTAACACCATCGCACCAAAAAGTAGCTTCTCCAAAAACCGCTTGAGTGTCCCTTTAAATGATTTTTGCTATATCGAACTACGTTATATATCGAACTAGGGTTTCCTGCTGTTCCTTATAAACGGGTTTGACTACCTACTTCTCCACCTTCCTAACTAGATAGTTTTACAGATTATTTGGAAAACAGTCAGGTAAGGAAGAACAAACAACCAAATAAGGTTTTACACTTTATTCTGTTGTTTCTTAGTGTGCTCTAGAACTTTCCCATTCACACCTCGGCTCTTAAACGAATAATTAAAACGCTAGATAATTAGCCTTAATTAATCAACTAGGCGCACTTCAAAAACTTCGCACGCTTTTCTAAGACGCTTGCTATCAACATACAGTTGGTTTAACTACCGCAGAACGCTCCGCTTCTTTTATTCTTTTTTTTTTTTAAAGTTTGGTGCATGTTTTAGGACACCCGGTATAGAACAAAAGGAGCTGTGACATCGAACAATACTTTTCTGTTAGTGTCATACTTGTTAAAGTTTGTACCTTGACATATTCACACCAAACATTTTCATTACACCTACGTTTCGGTTTCTCAAAGTTTTCAAGCTTGTGAATGCGAAAAAGGTGAGCAAGTTATTGAGTTGACTGTTCTATCTGCAGGGAAACTACGTGCACGGTTGCGAGACATTTCAACAGTTACGTCTTTCGAGTCCAGGATGCTCAAATTGTGAGTGTTACAAGTGTCCCATTAATCGAGCTTACTATACGCCTATAATTTAAGTCGGACAATTTTGAATTCCTTCGAAATATATCTTTATTTGGAGTTCTCGACATGGTTCTTGAATAAAGTTTCGCATTTTTTTATACTTAGAATAAAATGACTTCGTACAACGTTGGAAAAAAAAAAGGTACCAGCACCTTCTGGCAGCGCCACTGAATCGTCAATTGTCCTTAAAAGTGATGCGAGTTCTAAAAAGAGGACATTGTTGTGTTCTTTTTATTTTGTTCTAGTGTCAAGGTATTCTTTCCAGCATAGGTAAGTTTCTTATTTACCGTTTATTTACGGCTTCCTAATTGGGGTCTCTGAAAGAGAGTATATACTCACTAGTGAAGTAATACCTCCAGGAGTTGTAAACACGAGACGACACCGTACTTCTTAAATAGAACACTGGCAAAGCTTGAAGCCTAAGCAGTTATCACAGTAAGCCGCTGCTCGCGTTGTACGTGCTATTTTACAACCCTGGCAGCACACATGTCCCAGGCGGCACAGATGTGCTACGCAGGTCCGCAGGCCATCCACGGAACGTTCAGACATCCTAAGGACGTCTACAGAACGATGTGTGCTGGCAGGACTCAATACTGCGAACGTCCTCAAGATGTCTTGTTCCATGGGCGTCATGAGTAGGACGTCTCTACCGCCTAACAGAATCAGGACCGTTCAACCCTTTGACCTCGAGGGCGTAATCTTCAAGAACAGTGGTTGTTTGGGCGAGTTGGTTTGACATCTTGTGCGCAGCAGGGCCGAGGACAAAAGGGAGAACAGGACACAACAAGGCGCCTTGTTGTGTCCTGTTCTCCCCTTTGTCCTCGTCCTTGCTGTGCACAAGCTTGCATAAGACGTAATCTTCAATGTGCCTCGAGGCAATTACTGAACCTGAGGTCAATAATTGCCTGGGCTTGTGGTCCAAACTGTTTTCTCGGCAGTTCACCGTTTTCTGCGATGAATGTAAACGGTTGTTAGATTTAGGCACTACTCGGTGGTGTAAAGACAGCGCTCATATCTTCTGCATTAATAACCTCGTCTCAAGAATTGTGCGCAGAGTTGCGGAAAGGCACATTTGAAAATTCTTTCCTAGATCTAGTTTCCCGCGCTCGTGCCTTAAGATCTGCGAGATAAAACATATACTGCCACAGAAAATGGCTTCCCTTAAATGTTAGTTCGACATGTTCGATCTGATTTGTTAAACCCCCCCCCCCCCCCCCCCCCCCCTTTCCGCAACATTTGTCAAAGAGCCCAGTCCACACTGCTGTAGTATTTTCAATTTTCGCTGGCTGCGTTTTTATGTAAACAATAAAACAATCTACAGATATGGCCTATCTACTGATTTTCGGTGTCTATTCTGAGAGAAACCCACGAATTGTTAATTGGACTTTTTTCTTCAGAAATTTAACGTTTTAGCTCGCATTGATCAAAATTTGAATTATTTCGGGGCTAAATTGTCGGACGAAATATGTGTGATAAATTTTTTTGCTGATTTTGTAGATTTTGACGAGTACAGGATAAAATAAAAATAGTTTGACCGATAAAAGAACGATTAGAACATGCGTTTTAGTTAATGAGATTCATGACATCCGTTGTTTTGTGCCTTGTCTACAACTTTAACTGCATAATTACCAACATATGGCTCTCCGTTCGTTTTCAGCGCAAGGTTTCAGCCGCACCAGCTGGTCTGTTTGACTTTTGTTCGAGCCAACCGATATGCCTTCACTTCGTAATTGTGTACACTTCCGCAAAACCACAATCAATGGCCTTCCTGTGCTGTCCCACCTGGTGCGAGCGTCTCCGTTGGAAACATTTGTCCCATAATAAATGCCTACGAAGAGTTAAGGTTGCCATTGCCATTGGACGGGGGCCATGGGCGCGTTTCACAAATAAAACCCAAGCGTAAAAGAAAGAAAAAAAGCTGAGTCAGTAGCAATACAAGTGATCCCTGTTAAGCGATGAAATTTAATGTTCTTTCCATCGATTGACGTTATTTGATCGGCCAGTCATCACGCACCACACCCGGTGCGGCGAACGCGCGACGCTCGTCATCAGGATCGCTAGCTGATTCGACGATCAGTCCGTGTCCTTCGATGGAAATGACATTAGGGGCTTTTAGCAAACCGTTACCGTGTTCAGCGTACTGCACTATCGGAGCCTTTGAAGCATGATTTTAAAAGCGCGCCCGAATGATACAGTGATCGCAGAGCGCTTAAAAGCGTGCTTCAAAGGCAGGGCCCAGGGGTGTCGGAGACCTTGCGCGCACGGACATATTTTAAGGCCAATGACTAGTTCACTTTGTACAGTGGTTTGCATTTTTATGCAAATGTAGTAGCTAGGGTGGCCTATACTTTTTGTCGCACCAAGAAAACAGAAAGCAAGATTTGGGCTGGTAAAGGCGAGCGAGCTGATCATGAATACTTAAAATCGAAAGTATAAAACATGGAGGACAAGCACGTGAAAGAACGTGGTTGTCCTGTGCTTGTCCTTCGTGTTTTATTCTTTCGATTTTAAGCAAGCTTTAGGGATTGTATATACGCTGCGCGAAACAGTATGCTTACAATATTTTGTTGTGGGGGAAGAAACAATGCCTTTGTCGTTTCAAACGTATAAGTCTCGATAAACCAACATATAGCAAATCTAAAATGCACGTACACATATCTTATACCGTTGTCAGACGGGCTAATTTCAACAAAGTGCACTTCAGCTCACAGAATATCACCTCATCAAGTGTTTCGGTACCACACGGGATAAATTAGTGTCATTCGGAAATGACGACATTAACGATGCGTAAAGTGCTATTAGAAATCTAAAGTAATAAAGTAAAGGCATAAATTCCTCAGCAATAATGAGTTTTTTTAATAAAGACACGCTACAAGACAACGTTACGTTAATTGAGAATATTTACGCCAATTGGATGATTTTGATCGATCATACCACAAAGCAAGATAAAGAAAAAGAAAGGAGGAGAAGCAAACTCACTTGAGGCCGAGAGTGGTCTACAGGAAGAAGCCGTGTAGCACATCCCACAAATGACACTAAAGGCGTAGTGCACTCCGTTGAAGTGCATTCCGGCATGGCTCTCTGACCGGTTAATTCACCGCATAAAGCGGGGAAAAAAAAAAAAAAAGCAAGGAGCCAAAGCTTTTTTTTTTCTTTTGTTTCTTTTTTTTTTTTGACTACGGTTGTTGAGGCGATCAAGGGTGTGTATAGCAGTGTTGCGGAGTTGCCACTCCGGAGTTGGAATCATTCCGGAATCATTCCGCATTTTCATGACCCCGGAATGGAATGGGAATAGAATGGCGGCAACGTTGAGGGGAATGGAATGGGAATGAAATTAGGTGCCTTTTGCCCGGAATGGAATGGGAATGGAATGGGCACGGTTCTTTTCTTTTTTTTTGTGTGTGTGTGTGTTTACGGTCAGCTAAACCGAGCCAGTCAGCGAGTTAGTTGCTCAGATATAAAATGAGCGGGAAACTGCTAGCCCGCGTGGAGCACTAACAGACTTACACACACACACAAAAAAATGCAATACATAAAAAAAGCGTCAAAGCAAAGGGGGAAAGGGGGGTAACGTGGCGCCTTTCACGGACGCGCAGCATCCGGCTTCGATGGCGTTACACGAGAGCGAAACAAGAAACCATGCAAAAGAAAAGGGAGCGGCAAAGAAAGAAACCGCCATGCACAACTCCTCATCGTCCTTCTTGTCATGCTTTTTTGTTGTTGTTGTTGCGGCGGTTTGTAGAATGCACGCGCGCGCACAGACTGAGATCTGGGAGCGGAAGCGACTCATGACTCGCAGAGCTCTGATAACTCGTTGACTCGGGCGCCGCCGAAAGATGGTTACGTATTGTTTTCTTATAGTTCGAGGAGCGCTGTTTAGCAGGCAGCCAACCCTGCTGCCTTCCACGTTCAATCGCGCGCACTCCTTTGAAGTGCGAAATGGGGGTTTGCTTCGGCATTAAAACCAAAGCGAGATTCACTTCCCTCTTCTCCTCTTGCGCTTTGCTCCCAGGCTGGTTTTTTTATACTGCATTTGTGTAAGTCCGCCTTTTACTTGGTCTTTGTTCCGACGCTTGTATTTTGTGTTATTTATTCCAGTGGGTTGGGGTTACAAGCATGCTAGCGGATTCCCGTTCATTTCCTTTGACTTTAGACTCTACATACTTCGTTTTACCTTGCGATGGACCGCTGCGGACGCTACGAGTCACCCTAGGCAATCCAGCACCGTGAGCGGGACTGCAGGGTCACGCGACACTCAGAAGGCATTGGATTGGTCTCGATGGCTCTCGTGCTGTCTGTTGAGGTCCATCGTAAGGTGAAGTACACTATCGTCACCGCTCTTGGTGTGACCGAACTGACTAGACCTGGAGAAAGACCGTCCCGCGCCAGACGAGGCGCGACCGTTGCTGAGAGCGCAACTGAGAAGGAGAGCTGGGTGCTAGCTGCCACTGAGGTTTTGGCTTCCACGCGTCTCGGCTGTCCGGTCTGCATTCCTGCTCCTTGTCCTGGACGGGTCCATATTACATGAGCGAATGACGTTTTAGCGAAAAGCGACATTTGAGCGAATCGACGTTTTAGCGAATAACGGGGGCGCGCGTTAACCCATCCGCCGCGCTGCGCTTTCGCCGCTTCGCGGCGACAGTCTGCGGCGGCTCATCACAAAAATGTGAACCCATTTGGCCCACCCGAAAACGCCGCTTCGCGGCGTCCGACTATTCGCTAAAGTGTCATTCCGTGAAACGTGGACGTTCGCTAAAACGTCATTCTATCAAGTGAGTGCCTCCCGTTGGACCCTGTTTGAGGCGGTGAGAACTCAGTTAGACGGTGTTGTTGAGGAAACACGGGGAATGTCAATTCGAATGGTGCGGTATTACCCCGTTAATTGTATCTTGATGTGAAGAGCTTTGTCAACGCTGACTGCCTGACCCGTCGACACAACGCGAAAAACCGACACCGAGGTAGAAGAATGAATTGGTTGGTACCGTCTGCTGCCTGAGCCCGCCACTCGATCAGTGCGAAGAGGAACATCACAATTTGGACGAGAAGACAAGATAAATACAGATCGAATCATGGCATTGTGGAGGACAGTTTTCGACATTAGTCGCGAAGAAAATAAACAAGCTGCACGCTGAAAGCTGTGCAACGATACGAAACTATACACGGTGCAGTCGGCGTATATCATCGAACTTTATTCGCCACCTGAAGAGGAAACACGAGAATGAGTATGCGAAGGGTGGAAAAGGGCAGGCGCCAGGCCAAAAATTTAATTGTATATGATAAGAAATATCGAAATTCGTAAAGCAAGCGTGAACTTATGCGTTTTAAAACAGGTTTTGGTCACATGGTCTACGGTCCCTCGTGCCGCGCCGCACAGGTTGCATTTTGTCAGAGGATGTGTTCTTGCCGCTGTGCATGGAGTCGCTTCCAGCAGTGTACTAGCCGTGTTGCTGTATTTGAAGAATACAGTAATATAGCTTATTCCTGCGCCACGCACGAACTAGATATTTTTATGGTCTTATCAAACAAACACGCTGGCCGCATATGTCCTAAAAGTCAAATGCAAAAAAGTTAAAAAAAAAGAAAAGAAAATGAGTGTATTTAAGTTTTGCTGTTTGGTTGCGAGTCACGTGGTCGCGAGACCGATGTCTTAAACAAGCATCGACATATCAAGGGGCTTTCTCGATGTTTGCAGTACATTGTAAATAATCACTTTGTACCACTAGCGGTCCGCTTAGTAAAATCAGTGCTTTTTGGAGAAATTTAGCTCTTTTTTTTTTTTTTTGCAATTGTCTCTGCATTTGATAATGTCAGCTTTATGCTGCTCATGCCGGCAACACAATGTAGCTGTTAAATGCAAATTTTTACGTTTTGGAATTAAAGGAATGGAATGGAACGATTTAGCCATTCTAGGAGTGGGAATGGGCCCAGTGTCTCCATTCCTAGGAATCGAAAGGAATTGAATTATCGAAAACTCTAATTCCCCGGAATGGAATTGGAATGGAATGGGGGCGCCCATTCCGCAACACTGATGTATAGACACACAGTCTTCGTACGCTGCACGGGTCCCCAATATTAAGGACTTTCAGCAAACCGTTACCCCGTTCCGCGTACCGCACTAGCGGAGTCTTTAAAGCATGCTTTTACGCGCTCGCCCCGCGATCACCGTATGACCCGGGCGCGCTTTTAAAAGCATGATGCTTCAGAAACTGCGGTAGTGCGGTACGCGGAACGGGGTAACGGTGTGCTGAAAGTGCCCACTGACTGTGGCACTTGAGATCTAGGTTCTGCAGGCGTAACACCGACATCCAAAGAAACGGGGGCGTGTCTTATTAGGTTAATTCTCGCTTCGCGATTGGCCCTTCGACGTTGTTATCGTCTAGCGATGTAATCCGATTGGTCCTGGAGCGATAATAAGATGCTCGGGGGCTCACCACGCCCCGCGCTTCTGTCCGTAACAACAGATAACAAAACCGTTGTGCTGAAGCTTCGGCGTCACCCGAGGACGTCTAGCGCTGATGGATGGATGGATAAATGCTAAAGGCCGTACCCTTTACAACGGGCGGCAGCTTGCGCCACCTAGCCTAGAAATTAAAAAAAAAAAAAAAGAAAGAATTTCTAACGATTTCTCCCTTCGCCCCTTAGGCGCAGCCAGGGCGGTAGGCACGCGCAGATTGAACCAGTGACGCCTCAACTTCCGACTGGGATCCTTGACTAAGGAAATTCAACACTAAATTTGTTATCCAGGTGTTGGTATGTTGGTACTACATAGAAAAATAGAGAGAGAGAGAGAAAGAAAGATAGATTTTAGGGAGATCATTGGTCAGCTTCAAAATAGCACAGACGGTAAAGTTGGCAGAAGAAGCATGGCAAAGGTAATGCGTTCGAGTTCGTGTTTTTTTTTTATTGTAAATCTAAGTTCAACGGTTACCGAAACATATGGTATACA